CTGCCATGTACTATCATTCAGCCTACTCTCACTCCTCCTCATGTCATCTTGATGTGCACTCATTTTCTGTCTCTGTGTTTTGAGGATGTTCTTATGGCTATCCGACATTTTATTTTTACTCATGTGTTGACCTCTGATTTTGATTTGTATGTTTACAGAAATTTAGATTAGTTGTAACCTTTTCTGTTTTCTTAATTTCCTTCACTTCCTTCTCAGACACTGTGTTTTGGTTATCCTCCCACAGAGCAGTTCCTTGTTGGCATCCTCACAGAGGCATAGCTGCTTTTTCTCTTCATTAATTTAGTTTGAACATTTCCTGCCTTTTGGCATATCTAACTCAAGACGACAGTGGATAGTGCCATGGATTCCAGAGGAAGGAATACCTTGGTACCTTCCTTGGTTATGCCATTGAACTGCCTGATGATCCAGAACAAATTTAGTGCCCGAGTTATTTTTTTTTTTTTATCTGTCTTTATCACGGGGTTCTTGATGGGTTCTCTCTTCCTTTAGAGAGAATGCTGGTAAACAGCTCCACTGTAAGTCCAGTTCTCCCTTTAATCTTGAATTTGGGCAGGAGGGCAAAAGAGTGGTCTTAGCTGATGCAATTTGTTTTTCCATTCAATGGGACTGCATTCTCCTAGTAATTTGGAGTATATTTGAGGACTTTTAGCCCCTAATCATCCCTCTTCCATAAGGATTGGTAGGGTGGTGTGGTCAGGCTCCAGCTCTTTATTCTGCTGCCCATGCAGTCCCTACATTTTTATTTGTCAGCTCTTAAATCTCTTCATTACATGGAATAATTTTTCATGTGGCCACCACAAAAGTGCCTTCCTGAGCATGCAATTTCTTACAAAAAAATAAATCTCAGACCATATTTTAGACATGTTGCTATATTACCCCATTTTTGAACAAATTTTCCATTTGTTCATTTTGACATTTCCAAAGTCCATTCGTACTTTGTATTATAGCACGTGACAAGCACAAGGAGGGTGGTAGAACTACAGCTGCCTCTTGTTTTCTTATCAGATATTGAAAAAAAAAGTAAATTAGATTAAAAAAAAAAAAAAAAAAAAAGGAACTCTGTAGGCTGTGGAACATTATGAAACCACCCACTGAATGTCTGCGCAAGACATACGGTAACAGCCAAGCTGTTACGTGCTAAATGAGTTCAGAGTGGAGGCCAACTGAATGCAATGCATAAGTGATTTACTTTCTCATTTATAACCCTAACCTAGAATCGTGATTACTTGCTGTTCCGTAAAAAGGATGACTTTATGTGACCCTTTAAAGCCTTCAGCATTAAGTAGCATTAAGTTGATGGCTACTTGTTTTGTACCTTCAGAGAAGAATTATGCATAAATCAAGTAGCCTTTCCTTATAATGCACTCATAATCCTCACAAGCAAAACTCCCACCCAAAACCAGTGATCAAACATGGTTTCTTGAACTCAGAAAGGTCACCTCATAAAAAATATGGAGGTATAATATTCAGGCCACCCAGGCTTTTTTTTTTTATTTATTTTTTTTTGGCTTGGACATTAATTAAGTCGTTGTAAGGTTAAAATAATAATAAGGTTCTGATGTAAGCAGATAAAATACAGGGAAGCTACATTAAATTCAGTTTCCATCCACCAAACACATCTAGAAGAGATAAGCTCACTTGCTGTTTAAACATTTTGCACAGGGACAGACAGGATGGGCTGAGGTTGAGTCCTGAATGTTCCAGAGTTTATGTATTTAAATCAAGCCCTTAGAATTGTTTTTGTTTCTTAATTACCTCTGGTTTGTTGCTTTATTGATGATTTTGAAGGCAAGTAGACTCAGTAAAACAGAATAACTCTGTGTCACATACAATGTTCTCTTATATCTGTGGACATTATAGACAAAAGGAAAGGATTGATGGAAGGAGCTTCTGTGGACATGGTAAAATGGGTGGTAGATGTCTCTAAAAGGTGGAATTGAGCTACTGAATTGCAAATGAATGGAAGGTCTTGTGAAATCACTAATTAAGGGTGTCCCAGTTCTTGAAATCTGCCAGTGCAGCCAAAGTTAAGCATAAGGAACCTGGGAGCCAGCAATCCTGCAAAAGAGGTTGGTGGCTGGAGCGTCTTCATGGAGTGTTGCTGGGAGAAGTGAAGCTGAACTCACCCTTTCAGTGTGACACGTCGCTTTCCATTTTGGGGTGACTTTATGGGAAATAGGAGTACTGTGTGCTTTAGCACTTGTTATGCAGGCTTTGAGCAGGGACAAAACCTGCAAATGGCAATCCTTTGCCAGCCATGAGCACTTTTGTGTCATTGAAAAGTGACAACATGGTCTCAACTGGTTTAGTTTCAGGGAAATACTTGGAGATTGCACCTACTTTCTGCTGCCCATGTCCTTAGGGACCCCATTTCTGTACCTAAACTCCAGTTCCAAAAAGATCCTCTGTGTCTTCTTTTCCAGCATGACAGAGCATAGTATTGTGGCATTGCTCTTTCTGTGTCTCTCCTGTGTCTCTGCATCCCAGATGATACACCTAAAGCAGGGAATGAGCCCTCACTTGTCACAGAAGACGGGTTCAAAAGACTAATAGATGCATAGAATGGTTTGGGTTGGAAAGGACCTTAAAGATTATCTAATTCCAAACTCCTGCCATGGGTAGAGACACTGTCCACTAGATCAGATTGCTCACAGCGCTACCCAGTGAGGAGCACTGCCAGGGATGGGGCATCCACAACTTCTCTGGGTGGAAGATTTAGAAGATTTGTTCAGGAGATGTTTAATTTGTCACATCCCTCCACCAGTGGCTAATGACCTTCATGAGCAACTCTGTTGTATTAATTTGGTTTGCAAGAATACGTACACAAGATAAGCAAATGTGAACGTGGCTGATAGAGGCACAATGATGTACACCTCTCTTGTGCTTCTGAGCCACTGAATTCAAAATTTAGATTCATGTTAATATTTAGCACTTACATAGTGCATTTAATCTCCATAGGCCTGCAGGAACATGTCTAATTTATACATCCAAATTAATAGAGGTAATCACACATAGCAGTTAGTCTTTTCATCACTTAACCCAATGAGAAATGAAGACACTATTTTGTTTGGACTATAATTGCTTATACATACCTGAAAATACCATCCCATATTCTCAGTTCTTTGTAAAAACAACATGGATTTGCAGTTACAAGAATATTTCAGACAGCTGCATAATGAGTTAGCTTCATTTTTTAACTGAACTGAAAATTAGGAGGCAGATCTCAGTGGGATATCTCCAGAGGAGTTTTTCAGTGATCTTAGATGCTAAATGAGCTAGACCAGTTCATTTTTAAAATTTGTTTGAAAACCGTCTTTCAGAAATTAGAGTCTTGAAAGCCTGGTACTTATAATGAGCATGCTTGCAGACCTCTAAGGCAGCAGTCAAACATCCTCATGCTCCATATTATTTATTAATATTACATTTATATTGTCCACGTTAACTTCCAGAGCAAATTCAATAGACAGCTATAGTTCTGCCTTTATTATTCAACCCTGGTTGCTATGGCATCCAATTTAGGAAAGTATCTGCCAGCTTCAGGTGGCTGAGCACACAGGTGGGTAAAACATGAGCAGTAATTTAAGGAACCATGAGGTGGTGTCCTGTGACCAGAAGGTATTGTCCATGTTTTTTGCAAAAAGGGGCAAGAAGTTGTGAACATTGCTGGGACACCTGGGCTTTATTTATCTACAGCAAAAGAAACAGCCTGTACCAGCAACCTGCACATGTACTGAGAGATTCTGGTGGCAAGCTATGAAATAATTTAATGATCTATTCAAATTAAACACAAAATCAGAGATTAGAGGGGGCTGGCTGGTATCACATATATTCCTGCTCAATAACATCCTGCTCTGATTCTTTCCACTCAGATCACTGAGATTATAACAGTTGTTGAATAAGGCAGCAGAACTGAGCTTGCAGGTGAAAAACACATACAATAAGAATTGTAAGACCTGTGAAAAGAAAATACTTTCTTATTTAGTCTTTGTACTCAGAGTTTGCCCCTTGAAGTCTGCATAATATAATACAGATAGGATCTACAAATTCAATTTTTTTTAGTCTAAACTATGTTCAGGATCAATATTCAAATGCTTTGATTGAGTTTTAACTTCCATCCAATTGTCACTGGTTTAAATCACTTTTATAGGAAGAATAAATTTTCACGGAAAGCAGTTTTTTTGAAACATTACTTTTCCAGTTAAAAAAAGAAAGAACAAGAACAAAGACTACCAAACAAAATGCAACTTGTCTAAAATCTCATAAAAGCTTTTACACAAGAATCTATCAAGCCTGGGAAAATATGTGTTCTTTTGTAAAAACATATTTTTCCTTGAAGTCATTGCTAGATTACAAAAGTTCACATAACATATTGCTATGTGTGTGTGTTTATGTAAGACAGACCTCTGTATTTCACTTTCTCATGTCATTGTTGCCTTGACAACTGTACTTTATTGATTAGTAGAATGTATGTAATTTGGTTCAGAGCTGCATCATCTTACAGGGTCATTTTTCTTCGTGAGAAGTTGTTTCATTTTCTTATTCTCTGAGTAGAATTATTCTTCTGATATGAGAAATAACATTCTTTTGATCCTTTTGGGGGTGTTTCTGTAGCTGTACTTAAAACCCAGCAGAATTTGACAAATGCAAGCTGATAAAGTCATTAAATACATTTCTACTGATACATGCATTTCTTACTCATGTTCTTTTGCTGCATATGTTAACCAGGTATCTAATCTGTAACTTCACTGGTAACCAGCTGGAGACTCTATCCATGCAATTCCAGTTATTATACCTTCAGGGTTCTTTTCCTCCAGAGATCTGAAGTTCCAAATAGTAACACTTCTCAGGATCTCTTTGAACTAGATATTAATATAGAATTTATTTGACACTTAGATAAGATGCAATGTTAAAAGCTTACCCCAAAGAGTAAATAGTACTGAGAATAGCTCCTGAAATTGAACTCTTTCACCCTTATTCTACCCACTGTGCATTTGTCAGACCTATGTGTTAGTTCCTAACAGAGGACTGTATCATTTAGCAAACCAGTTGTCCCATTGCCAGTCCTATTTCTGCGAGTGCTGGTCAGGTTTATGAAATGTTTTGGTCCTAACCTGATGAACTTTGATTTTCACACAAATTGAGCAGGGAGAGGATAGAAGGACTTGGTGGGATGCTGTGTCTCGGTTCAGATGGTGCCATGGAATGATTATGTGCACAGCTGGAGGATTAACATATCTAGCTTTGTTAGATCTCCTCCTGCTTTGGTTTTGCCCTTTCCCCCTGTGTTTATTTGTCTCATGGTTTATGAGTATCACAGGAGCCAGCCAAGAACAGTCAGGGTGTGCAGCTTCCTGGATGAAATCAGACAGGGGCACAAAAAGAAAAAAATAGGCCAAGGAGAAGGAGGAGTACAAATAATGGATGGGAAAGTAATGAAGGTCAGCCAGATGTTGATGTAAAAGCTGTCTTTTATTTTGTGCACAACTGAAAGCATAGCCATCCCTACAGTCCTAATATTAACAATTTACAAATTACAGCAGTGATTGTATTTAGATGTCATACAGAAGGTAAATGATGGGAATGGGTTGTCAACACACATAAGAAAACAAGTCTGAAAATCTCTAGCACTTTCTTTAAATATAATAGTTCCTGACAATTAAATATCCCATTGGTTGGTATCTAAATATTTATCTTCAGTGAAATTACAAATCCAAAGTCAGAGAAAATGAACACTCTCTTGTTCTCTGTTGTAAAGATTTAATTATGTTCTACTTTTTTAAAAGTGCTTGGTTCCTGGATCTATTCTGTTGTATTTTTCTGGGTAATTTTGAAAAAAAAGAAAGATAAAAGAGTCTGCCATTGATGGCAAGCAGGGACAAATGCACTGTTACTAGACTGCGATTTTGGAGGTTGTTTGCCGTGCTAAGTCCATAATGTAAGATAAATAAAGAGATCATAATGTAAAATAATGTTTTTAGCCTTTTGGATTAAAACATTCAGCAATGGGTCTTCCTAGCAACAATGCCCCACCTAACACAGAGCGTTATTTTCTTGTAAGGATCCTGCAGTCTTACATGAATTTTCTAGGTCAGTCATTGGCAGCAGCAAAACTAATTTATTCTAGATGAAAATCAGGCCCACTATAATTAGCAATACCATGATATTTGTCCGAAAAATCAAGAAACAGTGGCATTTGCTAGAAAGATTATGTGTCTTCTGGAAAAGTCACTCCACTTAATTCAAAATTTAGGTACCTGGGGTTAAGCAGATTGTCCAGTAAATTTGTCACAACTGCTTATACAGTCTAAGGAGAGCAGCAGTTGCTTACTGAAGATTTGAGGAGGAAGATCTGTTCCCCCTCTTCATCCATCCATCCATCTATCCACCCACCCAAGGATGATTCAGTCTGCCTCATCCAAGTAAATACCTCTTCCACTGGGATTATAGAGGAACAATAGGAAATAAATGCTGGCAGCTCCATCCATGCAGTTGGGTTTTGCTCATTAGAAGATGGATGTGACTTATCTTTCTCTTGCATAATAGCCCAAGAATTAGAGCACTCCCCTCAGAGAGAGGCAGTCCTGGGCTCTGCTTGTTCTGAGTGCGTTGAGCTCACATCTCCTGCATTTAACTCAAGAGATAAATTCTTCCCTTTGCAGGATGACCATCCGTAAGTCTCCATGCTTTTGGTTTTTTATCCTTTTATTTTCTGCCTGTCTATGAGGACTGTAAGCTCTGTAGGGCACCAGCTAGTTTTTCATTAAATATCTGAGCATCACTGACTGTTGCAAAGTTCTGATTTTGGCTTTGTAGTGAAATATAAATAATGACAACAGTTGTGCAGATTTGTCTCTTCACACCACAAAAATGCTGAGTAAATGCTTTGTTCTTGTGAATGTATTACATATTTTTGCCTGGTATGGATAAAACTTGGGCTTTCTACAACCTTTCATTGTGAAATTGTTTGTGAAACAGTGGATGGGTCTGCACAGATGTTGGATTTGATGTGTATTTGGGGAATTGCTGGTTGCTTGATGGTTTGATATGGCTATTATTATGTCCTCATTTTTGTTGTCTCTTCTAGAGACATTCATGCCAGAGCTTGGTAGATCTGTAGGACTGGGAAATATGCTCCAAGGCCCTTTCTTGCAAATTACTTTTATGAGATTTTTTTGGATGTAGGCAAGTATATATGTATCTCAGGGCAGTGGTAGGCTGCAGAGCTCCTACTCAGTGAAACAGCCCCTCACTATCTTTTTCTCTTGGAATTTCTAAAGAAGAAAGCTGTGGGAGGGACAGATGGGGCTGAGAGCAGTGTGAGGACATTGTATGTGGTCAGTCCTGCAACACTGGCGAAGAATGCAGCAGTGATGTATTCCTCGCATGAGTCATCCTAGAGCTGCTGAAAATTGGAACAGTCCATTACCCAGGCATGACTAGTGATTGACCTTTATTTCCATCTTAGACGTTATTGTAAAATTGAAATGAATTGTAAATGAATTTCTGCCTTCTGAGCTCTGACATCAGTGCAGTTTGGTTTCTTACGAATGTGGATTCCTTTCCCCCACCTCACTGAAACAAGTCCTTTCCCTCCTCCATGTCACTTCCCAGATCTCTCTTCCATTCCTTAAATATGCATAAGAGAAGTGGTACAGGCACTGATGCTGATGCAGAATGTTGCGTACTCTGCAGCTAACTGTCTGCTGCTTCTCAGCATGCATAGTGGGTCACCCCACAAATGCCTTTCCCTTACTGGAATGCTAATATGTATACTTTGCTCAGCACCAGCTTTTCTAAAATGTAGTATCTTTGAGACATGGCTCCTCCTGTGAGATTCAACTGAAAATTCTGAAAATTTCAGTCAATAAATTCTGCAATTGTTTTGGGAGGCAGGAGAGTGTCTCAGAGAGACAGATGGTATGAATATTATTTCTTTAAGAAGCAGTTGTACAAATATACTGTAATGCATGCAGAAATTAAAAGACTTATGAAGAAATCAGTGGGTGAAGCTCTATGAGTTGTGTTGTGAAGAAAGATATAAAAGGAATATATTTTAAAGTGTTCTCTAATGTTTTTAATTATTGTAGTGAAAAATTAAATTTTAATTATTGTAGTTGAGCAATTCAACAACTGAGTTGCTTCTCCATCATGAGGAAAATGTGGGACTCACCCTACCGGTTCATCCCTAATGTCTTCCAGCCCAGGCAGTGATGAATTTGGTCTAAATTTATCAAGCATAGTAAGCACCTGTACAGCTCACAGATGGTTAACATTATATCAGTACATGGCACCTATGAAGTGACAGTTTTGGTCATCTACTACTTTGAAACTTTAAAAAGTTTCCTTAAAAAGCAACTTTAAAGTCTACTTCAGAAGTGGCCAACTACAAAAAGTATCATCAACTCTATGTGCCCATTTTATTAAAGAACATTTAAGAAATAGATAAAGTCAGATTTGGAAGTCCAGAGTCAGCTTTTTAGAAAAAGATTTTGGCTATTTTTAGGATTTAAAATTTTACTTAGTGGCTAGTGTGGGTTTTTCCAGTAGAAAATTGCTTGAGAAGGTGTATGGCAGAATGGATCTAAACAACTTGAAAATTTTGTGTATTTATGGATGAAACAATAAATAAATATTAAATAAATAGAGGTACAACTCCACAGTAAAGCTATTTATTATATTTCAGTTAGGGATCTTCCATCTTAACATTCCTAGGGTCTCATTTGTGATGCTGTCATTTCTCATTTTTTCATCTCCTGAAAGCAATATTTGCCTTAGGGGTATGGTATCATTGTGATAAAAATGAGCTGGTGCTACTGGTCTCATGGCTAATTGCTGTCCTTCAGGCAGCTCCCTTAGCATTCAGCCCTTTAGGCTGCTTTGGAAGATGCCCTGATGTCTTCCAAAATGATGGAGGAGAGCATTTTGCCCTTTTCATTTTGAGGCATCATAAGGTCTTGGAGACTTTTGAGGCCGATTGCCAGATGTGATTAAAAATTAATGGAACAGAACAATTGTACCTCATCCCCTTGACAGACACTTGAGTAAGAGCTTTTTCTAAGACACCTTTTCTAAATTACTCTGTTTGCATCTGTATTTTTCTCTCGTCTGACCACAATGACATCTTCCTTAGCATTAAAAATGGAAAACAATAGTAGAGGACGTTTGAGGATTTTTTTTTTCCACGCAGTTCCCTGCAAGTACTGTTTGGATTTTGTTCATCACATAGGATGAACTATCAAAACAGATTGTAAAGTGAAACATGAGACTGAGGTATTAAGTGAGGAAGGAGATCTGCTGCTGTTTACTGCTACAGAAGGTGTCTTTGGTAAAGCTCACACTCAGTATGTGCAAGTTTAAACATTTTCCAAAAAATAACCTTGTTTTTTGGGATAAGCCTACACTGCCTTCCTTCAAAGCCTGTCTGTATTGGAAGAGAGACTAAATATAATCTTTTTTGTGTTCTACTTCCTCAGCCTTCAAATATTCTAAAGGAAAATAGAAAAGAGCTGGCAGTGGGGAGGAGTGCAGTCTCTGCATTGATGCTTTGGAAGGTTATTGGGGAATATCAGTGCTTAGGCACTGAGATTGAAAAAAACCAATAATTTGACAAAAATTAATTAATTAATACTAATTAATGTTTTTTACTACTTTACGTGTGCTGTGGATTGCAGACACCAGCTAAATGTAGAGACTTAATATATACATATATACATATACATATACATTTTGTTCTTCTGATTCTGTCTTTTTTTTCAAAGAGCTATAAATAAGCGAGTATATATTTGACTGAATATCTTTCTTTGCCAAAGAAGAGAAACACAGTCATTATTGTCTGTGAACTATTCACAAGGTTTTAAATGCAAAAGATTTTAGGGCTAAATGCTGATATTTTTACTGATACTAAATTGGAATATACTCTTCAGGTTATTTATTAGTAGTGAGAGTGTCTGGTGTTTGATAAAAATACTCATTCTGAAATACTGTTTTGGAGATGCATTTATCACTAAGATTATAATTTAGGGTTTTTCTTTTTGGAAGAACATACTCCTGGCTATTCAGGCACACTTTTTGTTCATTGTGCCCTGTATGGGATAACCACAGGCTGTTTAGAAGATAGTATTTGCCTGTCACAAATATTGCCCCCTTGAGAGCAGACTTTCACAATAATCCATCACATTATCATGACATAAGTACGCACAGTTACTCAGAGTCATTGCAGTTACGTAGTTCCCCCCAGCAGGATACTGATAAATAAACAATGTTATTTGAGGAATTGGCAATTCCCTCTTCCATGCTTCGCCCAAAGTATATTCTTAGCTTTTCCTTCACTGGTGGTTTTGCTTTCCTGGAATCCACTCTTCTACCTTCTGAAACTCACAGTTGTGCAGACCTCTGATCCAAACAAACCTGTGATAGTTTGGGGAGATCTGCACTTCTGTATTTGTCAGAAGAAGTGAGGGTTAACGAATCTGAGCACTACAGGTGAGGTTATCATCCAGCACCCCTTACAAACCATAGGAAGCAGTATTTCATGAAATGGCACTATTTCTGTGAGCAGGGATGCAAATGGTGCTGAGATGCCAGCACGGCAGGAATATGAGATACTGCTTGCAAGAAAAGAGGAGAAGTTTATGGGGTTTCTGCTAGAGGTGTGACAATCCAGAGGTAGTTAGTGCAAGGTCTGGAAAAGTAAGCACTGCATTCCAGACACACAGTGCTCAAGTTAATGTCTCCTCCTGAAAACAGAGCTGGAACTGTATCATCAAAACATCAACTTCAGCAAAGAGCTGTAAATTTGCCACCTAGCCAGTTTGAGACCAAAGCAGACCTGTTTAGTCAGGTGTATCTCAGAAATTGTCCTGAATCCAGGATTCCTCTAAGGAAGAGTAAATATTAATCCTGCAAGTTTTGACGGGGTGGATTAGATGAACTTTCACTCCCCACTTTGGCCTTGTTTTCCATGGTTTATTTCATCTTCTTAGATTCTAAGTCTTTTTAAAATAAAATTAGCATGGCCATCCTTGGGAGGAGAAAAAGCCAACTCTTTATTTTAATGTTTTTCAAACTGGTCATTCTACAGGATATGGCTGCAGTTATTATCAGTCCCAGTACATTAGTCAGATGGTGGCATTATCAAATTATTCCTTTCTCTGTGTTTGCATAAGATCCAGTGAAGAAAATGTGACTGCCCTCACAGGCAGTCAAGTTCAATTATTTCCTAAATTCAGTGACAGAGCACATGTAGGAATGAAATTTGACAAAGACTCACTGAAGTATCCTGAGTATTAGTGGGATAGCTGTGAAAACTAGGACAGTAAAAAACACAGTTGGAGAGCCAGAAGGAAAAGATACTTGTGAAAATAAAACCAAAAAGGAGCTCAGCAGTAAGGAATTCTCTGTTTTGTTGAAAATACAGGAGAGATGAAGGATGTGTGGTTCTTTTTCAGATCTGCTTCTTATGTAAATAGTACAATGCATGCCTTATGGCACAATCCAGCAAAGCAAGCATGGAAATAAATGTTAGACATATTTAGGTACAGTGATTTCAATGACAAAAATCTGTTGAAAATTTTCATCATGAGAACCTTATTCCTTAAGACAGTGTGAAACTGCACAGTTGGACCCCTTACAATAGGAGTTTAAATTTATCTTTTCCTCAGAAGAAAATTA